CTCAATCACATTATAGAGGAATTGAAATGATATGCTTGGAAATCTGGATGCAAGTTAATGTAAACTTATTTTACCAGTTTGATAAATCCATTCCCCTGTGGATTACCCACTGGGATACTTACGGGTTGTTGTGACCGTCCAAATTGTCCTGAAGAGAGAGATTGCTCAGCTTTAAAGAAGTCTTAATATTTTCATATCGCATCCATCACAGGACCCAGGGGGCTACACAGGGGTGACACCAGGGGGTAGAATCTTGGGGCATCGTAGCATTCCACCGAAGGAGTGGGGGTGGGTGCTCACTGTTTAACGTTCTCCTGGTCACAGCTGTGCCATAATCAAGGTCTGGGGGCACAGGGGGTGATGGGAGTGAGACCTGATATTTCCAAGGCTCTTGGGTAGGACACCCCCAGAGACAGGCAACACCACGTGTCTGATAAGGCACAGAAGAAGACACGGCTTCTGCATCTCCCTGAGATATCTTTGGGAATTTTACTAGCTGAATAAGGAAATAGAAGGTGTTACTACTCTGTTTTGTCCTAAGATCCTTTATTGATGCATACATAAGATTTATTTATTTATGCATACAAAAGCTGGGGTATAGGCCAGAGATTTGGGGGGTGAGAGGATTCCCCAGAGACAGAGAGGAGAACAGAACAGGCAGACTCACTGAAGTACACTGCTGAGGGGAGCAGTGGGCGAGTCAGGAGAGGTCTGCTGTGCCATGTGGGTTGCTCCCTGGCTGGCTGGGAATCCAACTCATGTTGCAGAGGCTGCGGACAGCTTCACAGGTTGTGTCTTAACCCTTGCGCCACCAGGGAGGCCCTGTCCTAAGATCCTTTAGGTACAAAAAGCAGAGTTTGACGATCAAAGGCATCCTGATGATCTAAGAGAGAAAAATGGTGTTTGATTTTTGCAGTTGATGAGCAGGTGAAAACAAGTTCTATGTGTTTATCAGCACCATCTGACTCCCATTTCTTGTTAGTGCGGTGTATTATTTCTCAAAAGAGCAAAGTTACTTTTTTAGAAATTAATTGATCTATAAAATCAATGTTTACTTGTCAGAGACTCATCCAGGTGTTTGTGTAAAATGTTTACTAATAGCAGCCTGTGCTACTAAGTAATTGCTTTTAGAGGAATACGTTCTCCAATATCCCATAACCGCTCCACTATTCTAATTTTATGTTACATTTTCTTGCCAAGAAATTAAACCACTTTAGCTCACACAAGGGTGAAGACGTGACTGCAGCCAACGCTTCCCAAAGTTAGGAGCACAGCGAGTGTTTCCTGTTCCTCTCCTTGAACCCCAGTTTTCTTATGGCTGCGTATGGCAAGATATGCCAGCACAGACGCGCACAACACGCGTCATTTTCTGGTCAGAAAACAGGAAACCATTTATTGCTCAGATTTTGTACTTGAAAGTCTCTCAGACGACTCCCCCTTGGGTTTTAAATATGCTGCGAGCTGTTCTGCCTTAATCTCATACAACACAACCTCAGTTCAGTTGATGCTATTTCCAAAATAAGCACACTTAATGTGTGCACAAATTATTACAGTCACGTGAAGCAGCTCTTTCGCAGGGAAACCTTTTTCCCCGAAGACATGGAGAAACGTCACCATTTCCATCAGCGCTTTGAGAAGTAAACATTTCCCCAAAGATAGGGTTCACTTCTAACTAAAAATAGCTTCTCCCCCCACTGCAAGGTATTTGCCAGAAAAAGATGTCCGAACGCTTGATGTTTACTCTCAGAAACTGAGAATTTAAAGGCACGAGTGTGGAAGAATAAACTAAATGAATCGGTCTCCTCATCGGAGATGTAAGTTTATAAAGTGTCCACAAATCACAGCCTGTGGGAGAAAGATTTCCAGGGACAGTGCTGGTTTTCTTACTCTCCCGGGCTTCCCCGCGCTTATAAAAAGGGATGCCTAAAATAATGTGGAAGCAGGACAGTCAGCTCTGTTTTTGTGGATAGACACATGCATATTTAATCAGATGCCCACATGCATGTCTGTGTTCTAGAAAGCACAGGAATATTTGCTGCATTTCTGCATTTAAAAAAGTGCAGACCATTGAAAGTGAGCACACCCATGTGAGAATCCCCGAGACGGTCAGCTGGGGAGGGCAGCTGCACCTATCCCAGGCTTTACCCTGGAGAGAGGCCCCTGCACGTAGGGACTTAGGGACACTTCACAGAAGTGGTCAGAGACAGAACTGTGGCTTCTCGGGAAAGCTGCTGATGGGCAAGCGAGTTCTGAACAGAACTGTGGGCTTTTCTGCCTAAAAAGTGCACTCTTGGTTCCAGGCCTGACGGCCAGTGTCCTCAGACTGTCATCTCACAGAATTTTCAGTTCCTGGTGAAAGGTTAACCCCACTGCTGTTGCTCCATCTTGGCCAGAAGCGGTCACTCACCACACCACAGCCGCCATCAAGGCGCCACAGCCCCCACCACCAACACTGCCCCCTCCCCTTTGCGCCACCCGCTGCCCCCTGGCCCGATACAGAAGGAGCGTCCGGCTCCGGGAGACGAGCAGGTTCCCGTGGGAGCCCAAACTCGGGCCGCACGTTTGGCTGTTGATGAAGTGACTTTAGGGCAATCGTCTTGCTTTGTGTGGAGCACAGGATTTCAAAATTTTCTTCGGGATGTCCGTGTGTATTTTACTTTCAACGTATGGAACATAAGATATTCTAGTTCATCTCAAAGGAAAACTAGTACAGCAAAATGGGGGAGCACTCAACATCTCACTTTGTTCCCCACATTTGTGCAAATTCCATTTGAGTGGGTTTGTTTGTGGACTGAGGGGTATGACTGACCCGTTCACCAAAAAGGTGTGATTCTCTGTATGATGAATGGCATACGATGGATCTGGCAAAGCGTGATCCTCCCCGGGTTGCGTCCTGTGGTTCTGTGGAACATCTGTGGATGTGCTGGGGCCGAGTGAGGAAGGAGGCCATGGGGGAGCCAAGGGGCTTGTGCCTGAGAGGCAGTACCTGCAGGACGTGGCCAAGGAGCCAGGGAGGCCCTGCAGGCACCCAGTCCCTGTCCCTGGAAGAAACCCTTCCAGAGACAAAGAACAACGTGTAAGGAACATCTGGAGAAACGTCTTAAACTGCTTTAGTAACTGTCCTTTCTCTTTGATGTTCTTGACCATTTATTCATTAAATTTCTCATGCATCAGCTCTTTATTTTTGTCTGTTCTTAGCTTCCCTGAGGTCTCATCGACACATGACATCTGTGGGCATCACGTGGCTTGTTAAGTTTATATTTATATGGTACAAAATAATTTCCACTGTAGCTTAGCAATATCCAAGCAGAAGCGGCACCTTGTCGCAGCCATCGTCTCTACAGTCTGCGCTGGGCCTCCCATCTTATTGTCTTATAACTGGGAGTTTGTCCCCCCCACCCACAATTTTCCTGTGTACCCTCTGGCAGTCAACACTCTACTCCCTGTTTCTCTGACCTTGTGTTTTTTAGATTCCACATGTAAATGACATCATACAGAATTAGCCTGTGTTTGACTTATTTCACTTAGCATAGTGCCCTGAAGGTCCGTCCCCATTTTTGCCAATGTGGGGATTTCCTTCCCTTTTCCTGGCTGAATAATATTCCATTGTGTGATACATACATGGCATCTCTTTATCCCCCTCACCTTTCAACAGTCACTTAGGTTGTGTCTATATCTTGGTTATTGTGAATAATGGGAGTAAAAGTGGGGGTACAGATATCTCTGTGAGACCCTGACTTGAATTCCTGGGTAAAGACCAGAGTGGGATGGATTTTAGTAATGATTATTACCTGATATTTTCCACCAGAATATTAAGAATCTTATGTGGCAATAATGATTAGCTCTCCTGAAATCCCTTTTAAAATAATTTCTTTCTTTAGCATTAACTCTAATTGCACTCAAGCCCCATCCAGAGGTGGGTAGTTACTACAGCAGTTGGGCAGTCAGTTGTTTATAACCTGCAGGCTCAGGCAGGCCCTGACTACTCCTATCAAATTCAATCACCTCATAATGCTGGTCATTAAAATAAAACAGACCAGTCATACCATTTCTCAGCATTTTATAAGTTAATATTTTAAATGAATGCATCATAATCAAACCTCAAAAACCATTTGTAAGAAAAAGTGCCGACTCTTACGCTGAACTTCGCCCAACAAGGAAATAAACAGTGAACAGAATCAGAGGTTGACGCCCAATGGTCCCCCCCACACACACACCTGCTCATGCTCCTGGGATACCTGCTGGCAGGTCCCCGCACAGAGGCCGAACCACTGCTGCAGCCAGGACTAAAACGCGCTTGCCACCCTGTGTCCTGCTGCAGAACTTCATCTACCTGGAAAAGATGACACTGTAGGGCCTCCCTGGTGGCGCAAGGGGTTATGACGCAACCTATGAAGCTAAACCGCAGCCACCACAGCAGGAGTTCGATCCCCGGCCAGGGAGCACCCCACATGGCACAGCTGTGTCTCCTGTCTCCCCGCTGCTCCCCTCAGCAGTGGATTTCAGTAGATCTGCCTGTTCTGCTCCCCGCTCTGTCTCTGGTGAATCCTCTCACCCCCACACCTCTGGCCTGTACCCCAGCTCTTGTATGCATAAATAAATAAATCTTTAAAAAAAAAAATGATGACTGTAGAGTGAGGAAGCCGGGGTGTGGGGAGCGCCCTCTGCGTCTGCTCCTGAAGGTGCGGGCCTCCCTGTTGCATGGACCCGGCCATCTGGGAGAAGCTCAGGGCCCTGCCCCGCCCCGGCTGGGCGCACACGGCACCCCGAGTCTGCGCCGCGGCAAGGCGGGGCAGTGGCGGAGGGGCCGGCTGGTCTCCGGCGGGGGTCACTGTCTCCTGCCGCGCGTTCTCGCCGCGGGCACAGGAGAAGGGGCGCAGGCCCCCCGGAGGCCGCCTGCCCTGGACGTTCCCTGCGCGCCTGGCTGCGCGGGCGGGAGGGGTGCCCGGAGCGCCCCGCCGGTCTCCGTGGTGCCCGGTGACCCACGCCCGTGTCCCCAGGAGTACCAGCCGTGCAACACCAGCCCGTGCCCCGAGCTGAAGAAGACCACGCCCTGGACGCCCTGGACGCCCGTCAACATCTCGGACAACGGCGGCCACTACGAGCAGCGCTTCCGCTACACCTGCAAGGCGCGCCTGCCGGACCCCGCGCTGCTGGAGGTGGGGCGCCAGCGCATCGAGATGCGCTACTGCTCCAGCGACGGCTCCAGCGGCTGCTCCACGGACGGTGAGGCCGCGGGCCTGGGGCCTGGCGGGGGGGCGGGGGAGGGAAAGGCTGGGGGGTCAGCCTGCCCCTGAAGTCGGGGTTCCTCCCTCTGACGACTTGGGGTGCGGTCACGAGCCTCCTCCAACACAACTGCCCCAGACTGCCGTGGTGACAAGTGGGTGGCAGAGATCTCCTGACGCCAAGGCGGTGACAGGCTGAGTGGTTTTGGGAATGTAACCTCCAAATGAGCAGTATGTTTGTCAAAAATAGAGTTTTTTTAGTATCGGAAAATGTCCCGGGGCTCCTGGTGGTTTGTCCCCGTTCTCCAGGCTGCGCCCAGCTGGCGCGGTCATCTTCCTCGGTCTAAGGGCCTCGGGTTCCGCAGCCGCCCCACCCTTGGGTCCTGATCACCTGGAGACGCCCGGCTGGGCCTGTGGCCGCTGAGCGCACCGAGCGAGGCTCAGTGCGTGTAGTTGTTTTCCAGTGATCAGCCACGAAGCACTGGCTCATCGAGAACCTTCTAATCCATTTTCTCTGATGAGCAGAGCCCAGGTGTCTGCACAGCAGCGCCCCCAGAGTTGGGGGTCGCGGGCCTGCCGCCCTCTCTCAGGACCCGGGACTGCCCGGCTGGGGCTTGGGGGCTTGTTTTGTTAGAAGTGGCCCACATGGCCCGCGCAGGAGAAGGTGCCTGAGGGCAGTAATATGAAAGCAGCCGGCCTCTTGATCCACGCGAGCAGGCCTTCTGGCTGTGGCTAACGGAGCTGGGGCGCTGCTCCCCAGCAGTGGGCTCAGTGCTCGGGCCTGTGAGCTGGGGCTTAGCGAACAGCCCACGCTTGCTGCTGCTGCTGCTGCTTTTCCCTGGGGAAGCGCATTTTGCTGGTCAGTGGGCGGGCCGGGCGAGGTCAGAGGGGCTGTGCGGGCCCCTGGCCATGAGCTGGGCCTCGTTACCCCACGGCCTGCGCTTCGGGGGGCTCAGCTCCTCCTCGTTCACCAGCCGGAAGGGACCCCGGAAAGGTGACCAGGTGAAGGGACATGTCCGTGCCGGGGTCCGCTTCTCTGGACGGGCGTCGTTTGTTGTGGAATCCCAGGAGGGCGAGAGCTCGTGTTTTCTTTGGAAGAAGTTTCTCAGAAAAGCACAACCTGTTAGTCGCCAGCGGACCCCTCTGCACTTCCAAACGGAGCTCTGGGTGGCTCCTTACCGCCCGCGAGCAGGAGAGCCCTGCGGTGCGGGGCGACGCTGCTGTCTGGGTGTGGGGGGCTCTGGGGACGGTGTCTCCCCTCAGGCTGCCGCGGCCAGAGCTGGCATGGATGCCGGTGGCCCGGGGGCCCCTAACAGGGTCTCCGTGTGCCCTCTCCTCGCAGGCCTGTCCGGGGACTTCCTGCGCGCCGGGAGGTACTCTGCCCACACGGTCAACGGCGCCTGGTCGGCCTGGACCTCGTGGTCGCAGTGCAGCCGCGACTGCAGCAGGGGCATCCGGAACCGCAAGCGCGTGTGCAACAACCCCGAGCCCAAGCACGGCGGCATGCCCTGCCTGGGGCCCGCGCTGGAGTACCAGGAGTGCAACGTCCTGCCCTGCCCAGGTGAGTGGGTGCGGGGGGCCGAGGCCTCTAACGGGGGCTCTCCCAGCGCCCAGCTCTGCGCTCGAGTGCCCTGTCCAGATACACACGCGTGTACACATGACAGGCCATCGCTCCCACCACATCGGTGTGAAGTCAGATGTGCCCAACCGGATGACATTCACCTAGTTTTTCTGATTTAAGCGAAACTAAAGCATTCTCCTTGGCCCCCGAGCCCATTGGAGGAGTCGGCCCTGCCGCCGTGTTGGAGGGACGTGGCCCTTCCTGGAGCCTGGACACTCTCCCTCTCCCAGACTCTGAGGGCCCAGCCACCAAAACCAGCCTCCATGCACCAGAGACCTCCTCTGGGATGATGATTATCAGGGGTGACCCCCACCATGGGGCCTGCCAGCCCTTGATCCCCTGGGGTCCACTTTCCGTGGAGGTCAGTCCTCTGTGCACACAGTCTCCTCTGCTGGAGGCTGACGGAAGCCGTGTGGTCTGGGGCTTCCCCCTGAGACCCGCTTCTCACTCCACAGAATTCCCAGCAAGCGCAGGGTTAAGAAAGGAGCTATAAGAGGCCCTGTCCAGGGCTCTGTGCGCTGGGACGGCCGCTGGCCCCTCTGTCTCCTCAGCCTCTCTGCTGCCTCCTGCGCCACTGACTCCCCTGGCATCTCGGGAGTCTGTGCCTCGCCTCCCCGTGTCCTGCCTCTGACTTTGCCCCCGAGTGAGTGCCCAGGAGGCCCAGCCTCTGTGATGGCCTCTCACCCCGCAGGGCCCTCCTTCGGCTCCCCGGGCCAGGCACTCACTAGAAGGGGGCCAGTGAGTAAGCCAGAAGCGGCCACTGACCCACCAGCAGGGGGCACAGCCCGCAGCTCCACCCACCCACCAGCACCCGGGAAGGTCAGCCGGTGGGTCTCGGCTGACCGGTCCGTGGCCAGGTGCCGTGGCTACATCAGCTAGAGAGCTGCCGGGCCAGGACAACAGAGAGTCCACTGAGCCGCTGCCCCTGAGCTCAGTCTTGAGGGACAGGTACAAGTTGGCCGAATAGACAGTGGGGGTCAGTGCGGACACCCGGTCCAGCGCTTCCAATCACAGGATCCTGACAGGGGAGCATTTTTTTTTTTCAGTAGGTGCAGGTAAGCGCCGAGGCCTTTAAGCAAGAAACTGGCTCCCGCCAGTGTCCAGAGAACATTGGCTGGACGGTGGGTGGACGGCGGGGGGCGGGAGGATGGGCACGCAGGGCGGAGGACCGGGTGGACAGCTGAGTGGACGGTGAGGAGGAAGAGACCCGCGGGTGGGTGGCTGCGTGGCCGGCGGGTGGCCGGCGGACGGGCGGATGGTGAATGGAGGAAGAGACCTGCGGGTGGGTGGCTGCGTGGCCGGCGGGTGGCCGGCGGACGGGCGGATGGTGAACGGAGGAGGGTGGACGCGTGGCTGGTGGCTGGAGGACGGAGGGTTGAGCGGCAGATGGGCGCGTGGGTGTGTGAGCAGCGGGTGTGGGGAGCTGAAAATACCCGGTTCCCAGCCCTGCACTGGGGCTTCCAGCCGTGTCCCGGCTCCTCTGTGCCCTGCCCTCCCTGGGCTGTTTGCCCCAGAATTTCTCCAGCCTCAAGAGACTGTTCCCTTCAACGGCCCACATTCCCCGCCAGGCGAGGCCGGGGCTGGGAAAGGTCACGGAGCTGCTGCTTTCCCACAGCCCAGCACGGAGCGGGGAGGGTTCCTCTGTCGGGGCTGGGACGGACCCCACGGGTGAGCCCTGCTGGAGTAGGGTCGGCGCTGTAAACGGGGGGCGCATGGGGACGCCAGGGCCCCTCCGTCCACCCTCGCCTCCAGGCTCCAGACACGGCCCCCTGTTTCCCCAGCGCCCGGCTGCGTCCCTGGCTTGCGTGCCAGGCTTCGCCCCCGCGCTGCGACACCGTCTGAGCGGCTGGGGGTGTCGTTTGAGTTGACTCGGCCGTCCGACCAGCGTCCTGTCTACACGGCCTCGGTGTCTCCAAGCAGCTCTGACTCCATTTTCTTTCTGCAAGCCAGGAGAGCCGTGGCCATGCTGGGAGAGGCCCCGTCCTGTTCCCTGGGGGGGTGGGGGGTGAGCGCAGGGGCAGGCGGTGCCGAGTCAGGCCTCTCTCCCACCGCGAGCGAATCCTGAGACAGAGCTGGAGGCGGCTCCGCGGAGCCGGGCTGGGGCGGTGGATGCTGAGTTGCTCGGCCACTTCCTGGGCTCCTCTCCCGCACCCCCTGCACTCCTGCCTGGCAGCTTCTCTCTCCGTCCTGTTGTGCCCGCAGTGAAGAGTTAAAACCGGGCACTGTGTTTCACTTAAAGGGAGTTTTCTCATTATCTCTAAGTTTGAAAATAAATCCAAGTGTGCGAGATGAATGTGAAATGCTCTTCATGGAATCGGTGGAAACTTGGCCTCCCGGTGCTTATAAACCACAACGAGCCTTGAAAGTTGAGTCTGGCGGGCAGGACCCCCCTCACCCCCGCGGGCTGCTGCAGCTCGTACCTTCCCAACACAATTCGCCCGTCACAGGGAGACGTCTGGGCCTTCCTTTCCCTCCAGCCACGTTAGTTCGGAACGGATGACCAATTCAATGTGGCAGACAAATTAAAGAGAAAAGATGGTTCTTTGTTACCAAGTAATAGTCGAAGAAGATGAAAGCGACCTCAGAGTTTTATTTCGACTGCGTAAAACGGACGGCAGCAAATAAAAACTCTTTTGATCCGTTTTTACTGAGTTGAGTGCGATAGTCCCGTTTCATCTTTATCACGGAGGCGGTAAGAGGGAGGGAGAGAAGAATGAATGGGCCTGATGGGGGAGGGCAAACTCTTTGAATCAAACCCTGCATCTGCCCAGGGGTGCGTCCCCAGACAACGCTGGGGAGACCCCCGTGGCGAACTGTGACGCGCGGCCTTGCTGCTGGGACGCCCTTGAGTCCGCACTGTGTTCTGCAAACCGCGTGGCACACAGAAGGCGCGCAGGTGTAGGCCCGTCCCGCAGGCCACCAGGGCTGCCCCGCAGAGCCCAGCGCAGCCGGCCCCCGCCGAAGCCCTGCGAGGCCCCGGTGCCCCCTGTGTGGGGAATCACTGTCCGGTGTGCCCACTCCGAGGGAGGGCGGCGTCCATCTCTTTTTGTTGTCAGAGTTAAACCTTTAGCCCGGGGTTTAATTCCGGAGCCACAGCCCCAGTACGATTCACCTGGTATAATCTGAACCAGCACCAGGGCCCCCCGCTGACAGGTGCGCCCACACCCAGGCGCCACTTACCTCTGCTTCGCTCTCAGCGGCTGGTCGTTGTGCTCTAAGTTGCGTCTTCGTCTTCGCTGTAATTCGCCGCAGCGGACAAGCCTCCCACTGCAGCCGCCCTCCTCCCTTCTCCCCGGTGGCTTCGTCTGTAACTTTCATTTGATCAACTATAATTCCCAACAATTAGTTGCTTTGATTCCTCAAAAGTGGGGTCCTCCCTGATGGCGTAGGGGTTAAGTCTCAGTGCAGCTACCACCAGGACGGCCTGCGTTTGATCCCCGGCCAGGGAGCTACCCACAGGGCGCAGCAGACCCCTCCTGTCTCCCCGCTGCTCCCTCAGCAGTGGATTTCAGTGGATCCTCCTGTTCTGCAAGTCGACTCTCCTCTGGAGTCTCCCCTGTAAATGTGGGGTCACGTCTGCATGATTTGCCCCAGCTGGGCTATGCAGCGTGAATCTATCTACACAGCATTCTCCATGGCTCTTCCAAGCGGGACCGGTCGGCCTCTCTCAGTCCCAATCTCCCCCTGGGCGATTGTGACCCAGGTGGTTAGGCACCTGTGACGCCACCTGGCGCTGAGGCTCGTCTGGCCGACTGGACTGCTCGGTGCAGAGCTGGTGCTGCCTGGGTAAGGTGGGGTGGCTGGTGGTCCAGCTCATCACCAGGACTGTGGCTCCGGGTCATTCCCCAGCCGGCGCTCCGCAGTCACACTCGAGTGCGCTTGCCTAGCGTACCTCTAGGGGTGATCCTGGAAGAGCAACTGAAAAGGCTTGGGGAAGAATATGCAAAGCTGGTTCCCTGGCCAAGAGGGAGCCCCCAGGGGCCCCAGGGGTCAGGGTGGCTTGGCCCCTCCGTGCCGATGCCCTGCGGCCACATTGGCAGGGCTGAATGTGGCTCACGGAAGCATGTGACTTTGTCTCCCTTCCCAGTGGACGGTGTGTGGTCCTGCTGGTCCCCCTGGTCCAAATGCTCGGCCACCTGCGGCGGGGGACACTACATGCGGACCCGCTCCTGCACCAACCCGGCGCCCGCCTACGGGGGAGACATCTGCCTGGGGCTGCACACGGAGGAGGCACTTTGCAACACGCAGCCCTGCCCTGGTAAGCCTGCCCTCCCCCCGGGAGCCCACCCGCCGCCCTGCCCTGGGGAGCTGCCCTGGCCTCGCCCCTGCCCCCGGGAGCCTGCCCGCCCCCCTGCCCAGGGAGCCCACTTGTGCCCCTGCCTGCACTTGCTGCTGCTCCCACGTGCTTAGGAACTCTGGGATTGGCAGAGATAAAGGCCGGTTCTTCCAAAAGCAAATTCCCGAAACCTCTCAAACCATCCCAGCAGAGTTCCGGTTTCCCACTCATGCCAAGTGGTTAATTTTTTGTTGCATCTGCTGTTGACTTCAACAAAACGCAGCTCGGAACTTTTCTCTCTTGCTGACAGCCTCCCCTCGTGCCAGGGCTGAGAGCAGATCCCAAGCAAAAGCCTTTGTCCCCCTGCGGGAGTCCACCCTGTGCCCGCTGCTTCCTCCTCTGCCACACGCTAGAAGGCGCACCCGGGGTTTGATGAGCATCTGCATATGCTTTCTCGCATGCTGGGTCCCCTGGGTCGGTACCCCCTTTCTGTCCTGCTCTCCGCACTCACGGCTGCCCGCCAGGTGGGCTGAGGCCTGGTGTGGAGCCTCAACCACACCCTGAATGTCCTCGGGGATTGAGACACTCAGATTCAGATTGTTTGTCTCCAAAACGGGGGTGATAATCCTGGCCAAGAGAGTTGCACGCATGCTCCAAGACAGCATCTTTAAAGGCCCCCCCAGATGTGAGCTCGGTGATGTGCACCCCCAATAAGTGCCCAAAGAGGGGAACAGTCACCCTGGAGGTGACTTCCTTGGCCCTGCTCTGTGATAAACTGCTTCTCACGGCGCCCTCAGTGCAGGGCTGGTCCAGACACTGGCACCAGCTGACATGCTGGTCCCTGTGTAGGTGACAGTCGGGGTGGAGTGAGAGGAGCCCTCTCAGGAATGGCCCGGTGGGCTGGGAGGCCCCGAGCAGGGCCGTTACCACTCGTGCTTGGGCGCCGCTGGGCTGACATGCAGGGGATGAAGGGAGACTCCTCCTCCTGGTCTCACCTTGACATTGAAACACGCCCCCCCCCCATTTTTTTTTTTTAATTGCCTTTGTGGATCTTTCTGGGAGTTTCCATTTACACTGAAAAGTGCCTGGAAACCAGGTTCCAGCTGTCATTCCTGAGCTGACCCTGCACAATCCTGTCCTGGGGTCAGGGGAGGGGCTGCCAAGGGCTCACCGGGCCTCCCTGCACCAGAAACGGAGCTTGACCCAAGAGGAAAAGCAACCCGCATCGAGACCCATCTTTTTATGTTGACAGATAATTTTTAATATTGATTTGTCAGTGATATCAAGAGTTCTTTTTTTTTTTTTGAAGATTTATTTATGCATACAAGAGCTGGGGTACAGGCAGGAGGTGGGGGTGAGAGGAGTCACCAGAGACAGAGTGGGGAGCAGAACAGGCAGACTGATGAAATACACTGCTGAGGGGAGCAGCGGGGAGACAGGAGAGGTCTGCTGCGCCATGTGGGTTGCTCCCTGGCCGGGCATCGAACTTGTGCAGCAGTGGCTGCGGGTAGCTTCATAAGTTGCATATTAACCCCTTGCGCCACCTGCAGGGAGGCCCACGAGTTCATTTTTTTCACCTCCTGCTTAAAATGTGAGTGTGTGGCTCCCAGTTTTTCACACCTCTTGGGCCGGAGGCAGTTTCACAGGTGCTGGGGCATCTTCCCTTTGGGGTGAAGTGTCTGTGCCTCCTCTGCAGCTCAGTAGCTCACAGGACTCCTCCCCCAGTGCAGCCTGGTTCAGGCACATGCACTGCTCACCTGGTTTATATGGAGAAGGTGCTGGTCACAGCTGGCAGCCCCGCAGCCCCCAGGCGGGTCTGTGTAACGCAGAGTGGGCACTGAGCCAGTGGGATTTCTCAGGCCAGTGTCCGAGCGCCCTTCTCCAAGAAGCCATGGCCTGTGAGACAGGTGATTCGATGATTTCTGAGCCCTCTCCCTGCCGAGTCTGTGTGCTGGCTTGCTCACTGAGCGCTGAGTGTTTACAGCCTTGAAATAATGTGGGTTTTAGGGGCCTCCCTGGTGGCGCAGGTGGTTTAGCGCAGCGCTGTGGTGCTGTCCGCAGCCTCTGCAGTGCTGGTTCAATCCCCACTGGCCTCGGAGCAACCCACATGGCGAGCAGGCCTCTCCTGTCTCCCCGCGGCTCCCCTCAGCAGTGTGTTTCAGTCAGTCTGCCTGTTCTGTTCCCTGCTCTGTCTCTGGTGAGTCCTCTCACCCTCCCGCCCATCTGGCTCTATACCCTGGCTCTGGTATAAATAAAAAATAACTCTTTAAAAAAAATAATGTGGGTTTTAGAAAAATTATTTTAAGCACATTATTAGTTTTCTTCTCAAATTCTATTGACTTGCCCATGACTTGACTGCGTACCTTGGAAGGGCAGCCTCATCCCTCCACGCGTGCGGAGCACGACTCAGCCGCCATCGTGTGGGCGCTGTTACTGGCCTGGTCAGGGAGGCACGTCCGCCTCACACAGGGACTACAGTGCGAACCCCGGGCAACGAGTGTCTCGGCTGATCTCAGGGACTAACCCCCGCCCTGTCCTGCAGAGAGCTGGTCCGCGTGGTCAGACTGGTCCGAGTGTGACCCCTCCGGGGTGCAGGTCCGCGCCCGCCAGTGCGTCCTCCTCTTCCCTGCGGGCGGCCAGTGCTCTGGAAACGCCACGGAGACCCGGCCGTGTGTATTTGACTCCAATTTCATCCCAGGTAAGGGCAGGGATGTTCGTCAGTGTGAACAAAGCCGTTAGCACCACTCGTAGGGAAAGGACGCACGGATAGGGGTTTCACTGTCCTCTGCGGTCCGGTTTGGCAAAATGAAGACCATCCAGCACCTCTTAAGCTTCCAAGGCCGTTAGTGTGTAGATTGACAGCAGGGGTTTAAGCCTGAACTGACGTCTGACTTGTGGACTCTAAGCACGGCGCCCTCCCCAGCTTACTGACTGCAACTCAGGTGACTCTGCTGCAAAGATGACAGTCACTGGGTCAGGTCAACGCCAGGTGTGTGTGTGCTGGCGCAGACCCGGGGCCGTTCTCCCTACACACGTCAGGATAACTGGGGAACGGGGACCTGTCTTCACGCTCATCTTGGAGCAGAGTGGCTGGCCACCTGACATCGGCTTCTCCCTGGGTCGCGGATCAGTGCCCACCTGTCCCCTCGTGCTCTCGGTAGGTGTGGCGCTGAGACCGAGGTGCCACCCCCTCTGCTCACATGAGCCTTGGGCCCACGGTCCAGACCAAAGCAGCAGCCTCGCGCTGAGAAGGTCGCTGGAGGCACCCCGGCCGACCACAGGCACCCCGGTGCGCTGGAGGAGTGACTTGCTGGGCCGGGGCGCCTCCATCGGGCGGGTATAGAGCCGTAGCGTGCTGGCTGCACTGTCCTTTCCGTCCTGGACACATCTGTAATTCTTGTTCGCGGCTGAACAAGTAATGCAGAAGAGCATCATGTGTCTGGACTCGTGAAACTGTGTTTTACCCCTGGCGGTGCTGAGCTCCTGGAGAAGCCCTTCCTCCTGGGCCCTCGCGCAGGGCCCTGTGCTTTGATCTCTGCTGGCTGGTCCTGCTAGGCAGTGGGTCTGATGAAAGGAGAGGCCTGAGGCAGGAGCGCCGGCCCGGGCACAGTGCGGGGATACTGGCGAGACCGCCCAAGGCAGAGACTCAGGACAGGACACCTTGTCACGGAAAATCAGCACATAAATGTACTTGGCCTGACTTTGAAGTGCGAGCCGACCCAAGCCATTTTCTTTCTGTGATAAATGAACCTTTCCTCTTCCCAGCCAGCTTGACCTTGACAGAATTTTGGAACAAACAATGAAACAAATACAATTTTTAAAACAATGACTCAGACTTTTGGAAACGTTGACTCCATTCAGAATCATCAGCTACTTTGTAAACGTGGCCATGATAGGGTCCTCCTGCTCCATGCCTTCACACATCCTCACGGGGGCTTTCTTTTTCCAGAAGTGTCTGTGGCGAGGTCCAGTAGCATGGAAGAGAAGAGGTGTGGAGGTAAGTGCTTCCTGCTGACCAAGTGTTGATTGACGGCTGGTGTTTTCCAATCATTTTTCTTCCCCCACGTTTTGTGTGTTTCTGCTGTCGGCAGGAAAAGCAGCCTGAGAACTCACCCAACATCACGTATGTTGGGGTGTAAGTGCCATGAGTCAGCATCAGCGGTTGGGGGCTCCCTAGACCAGCGTCACCTGGGGGCTCGGGAGCCAAGCAGATTCTCCAGCACCACCCTGATCTGCAGAACCAGGACCTCCCTGGTTCTGGCTCGGGCCTGCCACCCTGGTTTCGTAAGCCCTGCAGGTGATTCTGGCAGGTGCTGACCTTTATGAAGGTCATTAGACTTTCCATAAGCAGAGCGGGATTCAAGCCTTTCGTGTCTAGCGCAAACCCATGCAGCCAGCCTGGGGGCTCCAGCCTCCCGGAGAGACAAAATTGCAGTGGGTCGTAAAGTACTGGCTGTGGCTCTGGAGTGTGTCTCAGACGTCCCTCCACCCTGAACACTCCCGCTCTCTGGTTTGGGGCCACGATAGATTGGACTTGACCATCTGCTTTTATCTTGTCTGGGCGGGAGGGGCTGACGGCCCCTCATCGGAGCTCATCACAGCCCTCGAGCAGAGTCTGTCAGGGGTGTGCCTGTCCCGGGCGAGACCAGGGCAGGGTGGGGTCGGGCGTCTCTGCCTCCTCCAGGCTGGCCAGAGTCTGCAAACTTCTCTCACGGCCAGTCAGTCCTCTCAGGGCTCCCAGGACCTCCCACACCCAGCAGAGTGTGGTGCAAAGCTGAGGCCCAGCCTCAGAACCACAACCAGAGTCTCCACGAGCTGCACAACCCAAAAGCAAGCCTTGGGGTGCTTCCGAGCAGCTGGTGGGGCTGGGGCCGCCCTGCTGTGCTTAGATGTGGCTGGTGATGCGGCATCGGCAGGAGGGGCACTAGGCCCGCTGCAGGGCTGCCAGGGGACAGGGCCACCGGCAGGACGTTTGCCACGTTTACGGAGCGCACACGGAAGTCTTTTTTCGCTGAGTTGAAGATTTAGTCAAATTGTGCGCAGCACCCAGCCAGGGAACGGCTGGATATCGGCCTCCACTCCAGTTTTCAAAGCAAAGAGCCACACCAAGCACATTCAAGAGATTTAGTAGCCACTATTGTTTTCCATGTTAGGCAGCGTGGAAAACCGTTCCCCGGAGGCCCACAGACCACAGATCGCGCTGCCCTTGAAACAGCACAAGCCACCGTTGGCCTGTGCCGCGATCTGCCCGTGCGCCTCTGTGCAGACAGCTGCTCGGGGCAGGCGGAGCCCCTTGGTGCCCTCACGCTCTGCTGGCAGCTCCAGGGCCTCTCCCATGTTGGGGTCAGCAGGGCTGTCCTGCTGCCTCTGCCCCCCACGTGCCCCAAGGTGCCCGTAGCACTCTGTGCCCACTGAGGCCGTCTCGCTGCTGTCTCTGCAGAGTTCAGCCTGTTCCACATGATGGCCGTGGGCCTGAGCAGTTCCATCCTGGGCTGCCTCCTGACGCTGCTTGTCTACACCTACTGCCAGCGCTACCAGCAGCAGGCCCACGACGCCACCGTCATCCACCCGGTGGCGCCCGCTCATCTCAACACCAGCATAACCAACCACATCAACAAACTGGACAAGTACGACTCGGTGGAGGCCATCAAGGTGAGGCTGCTGCAGCCAGGTGTGCAAGAAGGCTGGGGGCTGGGGGCAAGGCGTGCGGTGCGCAGGGGATGGGCACAGGGCCGGGACAGGCCATGGGCTCCTCACGGCCTCTTGAGCTTTGCTTGCAAAGATGGCGTGTCCTTTCGTTAGTGGGCAGGCGAGGGGCACCTTTAAAAAAATAAATAAAACACATTTTCTGTGCATTTGCATAGACTCAGTGTCCACTGAAGACAGGCAGACTCGCTGCTATGAAGACGAAGGCCTTGGAGGGTGCTGATGCCCTGTAGTCTTTAATGAACCCTTCTAGAACCTTCCTTCCACGCCTTTCCCACACCAGTCCTGGACATTTGGCCTCTGCCTTCCACCCTCCCTCTTTCTTTTGATCTGTCAATATTTACCTGGCTGTTTGCAAGTGCAGGAAACCTTGGTGACCATGGATTCGGGAGGACATCTGTGTTAGAACTAGGGAGTAGACACGTAGGTAATGAACTCATTTGAAATTTTGTTTATTTGTTTAAATAAGTCCTTTTAAATTTCACATCCATGCATTTATCCGTGGGAATTAGAAAGCTGCTTAAAGGTTTACTCAGTTATATGTGACAACACTCAAAGTGTTAGTTAATCTGACATCACTGGAGTTTTAGGTTTCCTGCAGGCTTTGATTTATCAAGATCTAGTTCTCACAAAGGGCCCACCCCATCCTAGTCATAAAGCAAAGATTTGAGGAAGCAAAGAGAGAAAGCACTTTAAAACAACGCAGCCTTAGGAGAGAGCCAAGACAGCGTAACAGACTCTTAATTAGCTTCGCTGTCTGAAATACCGCTTCTGAGTGTTTACAAATCCGCTATTTTATTTTTTACAGGCATTTAACAAAAACAACCTGATCCTAGAGGAAAGAAATAAATACTTCAACCCACATCTCTCTGGGAAGACCTATTCTAACGCCTACTTCACAGATCTCAATAATTACGACGAGTACTAGCAGCTCGGAGACCGCCGGCTTCTGTCACTCCCGGTTCCTCGAGGCCTGTGCTCCCCGGCGGCCCGTTGCTGAGACTTCCCAGCTCAAGTTTGGAAACATCTCAAGTGCGTTTCCAGCCACAAGTGTCCCATCGCTGCCCAAAGTACACGTTCCTAAAAGCAACAAAAATCTGATTATGACGTCGTGAAAATCTGGTCTGAGTACCTGTCCTTGTTGCGTCAGCCAAGGTGTGAAGTTTTCTTTATCGTGTTCCGTCCATTTTTCTAACAAGCCGATCGTTCTCTCGAGCCTTTTAATAAATGTACCCCCCATGGGAAGGAGTCTAGAAACGTGAACGTCGTCTTGCTCTTGAGCGTAAATCTTCATGATGTTTTAATTCAAGAAAGTAGGCACTTTATTTGCAAGTCCCCCTGCAGGCCCCCTAGCTGATAAAGTGAAGACTAGCGATGTGATCGTGCAGTCGCTCATCATGCATCTCCCGCCCCCACATCTGGAGAGGGCTTGGATCGTGTGAAAGTAATTGGTGCATTTGGACTAGGAGTGAGCCCTGCCTGGGTCAGCCCGGGGAGCAGCCGGGCTCGTGCATCTGCAGAGGTGATGGGTGGGGGGTGAGACCGTCGCCCTGGGTTTGCTGCCATTGCTGCGTCGTCACCGGAGAGGCGAGCACGCAGGCAGCGGCGCAGACGCGGGGAGGGAGCAGGACATGTTGGGCCAGCTGCTGCAAAACTAGCCTTATTCTGACTGTCAGGGTTTCCCAGCGTGTGGGGGCTCCTGACCACGCTGTGGGCCTGGACGCCCACCTGCAGGCCCACAGCTAGTCTGTCCAGGAACCATGTGCTCTGCACTGGCATAGACTCAACCCCTTCTCTACCCGCAAAGAAAAATCTGGGACATTCACAAAGCCAACAAGGGAATGAAGTCGAAGCGCTGACGTGTTGTGGTGAACGACGTTATCTTCCAGGTGATGGAAAGTGTGGAAAGACGGGACATTGAACGGAAAGCAGCATTTCCTTTGCCATCTCCCTGGTGGCACGGAGGGGGGTCACCAGCCCCTACCCAGAGCATTAACGCTGTGGACAGTCGCGCTGGACACACCCGTGTCCTTCCAGGCCCAGCGGGCACTGCCGCCCCCAAGGTGCTGGGCAGGGATGTCTAGCTCGGTGCCTTTTGCCCCTCGGTCAGTGCCGCCTTCCCACCCACCCCCACCTCCCACGCCTCCCTGCAGGGCAACCACAGCGCTTCTAGATGTGTCTTGAGAAATCCAGGATCTGGAAAGATTTTCATGACCCCTGTGGGTCTGAGCACTGGTCACTGCAGAGTCTTTCAGAGTGTTTTGATACTATTGATGGAGGGGTTTGGGGGGCACAGGGGCCGGGATCGATCATTCACAAACAGCTGAGACGTAGCATAGAGCGGCTGGCTGGGTAGTCGTAGAAACTCAGAGCGAGATTGAAACGGCCTATCTGATGCTCCTGAGTGTCGTGATAAAGGCCTGGCGGACGTAAAACACACCCTTCTCGGTGAAGGTCCCTCCAGATTGTGAAATCTGTAGTGTTCGTGTGAGGGCAGCAGGCCCATCAGCAGACATATCTCGACCCTCTCCAACGTAAAGAAACCATTTCAGACGTGTTGGGAAAGCCGTGTGTTTGGTAATGGGCACTGCTGACTTGGAAGTGTTCTCCTGTGCGCAGCTCTGCAGAGGGGCGCTGTCAAGTTAACATTGAAGAGGTGGGTGGGCTCTAGGGCCCGGCAGTCACAGGGGTATGTGGTGTGGGTCTTTCTGGGGAGCCCCTGTTGCATCCTGGGCACCCCAGTGAAGGGTGAGGCCCTCTGTTGCCAGGCGAAGTCCACACTCAGATGAGCTTAGATGGTTTCCAGGCGTCCTGGATCGGATTTTCCCTGCAGCTTCCCTTCCCTGTAAGAAGAATGTCCTCAGCAGGTAACGCAGTTTAGCTAGTTCTTTAATCCCTCCTCTCCAATATTTTCTAAGCTTTAAAGGTCATTTTATTTCCCCTCGAAATAAGACTCTAATATTTCAAGAACGTGTCCCTGGGCTCGATGGGAAGCTTTCTACGTGACAGCCAGGCTGATCTTTCGTCCATGTCACACCAGGACTGGGCACAACCCCCCAGGACGAGACAGGGTCTCCCTGGTGCTGCTCCCAGAAGCCTGAGCTTGTCCCTGCAAGGAAGCCCTGTCTGTTGTTGCTGATGCTGTTCAAAGGGGCATCGCTATGACCCCCTCCCTCCCTCCCACAAATAGCGTCTGATGCTTTCAAGCGATCTCTCTTCCCTGACATTAAGTGACATTGATCACATTTAGTATCTGGGATTATTTCTGGTGCAGTTGGCGCTTGGCTGGTTTCACAGGAACCGGCTCCTCTCTCACGCGCGTCCACGGCTGCGGTGTTGCCCGGGGCCCTGTCCACACTCCAGGCGGTGCCACCTCCTCTGGGCTCCCGGTGCACCCACACCCTCCAGGAAGGGGAAGAGCCCAGACTCCCCATGCACTCCACGGCGTGTGGCTTCCCCAGAGCGGCTCCCCGGCCACATGGCTATCACGGAGCTGAGAGCCGGTTGTCCTGGAATGACGTGGGTTGTGGGGGCCGGGCCAGGCCCCACCCCATGGAAGGAATAGTCCCACGCACGGTGCTCACTCAGGTCTGCGCAGCACACTGGGGGCCCGTGCTGTGGGGCTGCTCTGGAGCCCCCGCGGGGCATCTGCGTCCCACCCCATCAGGGATGATTCCTGAAGCCCAGCGGGCAGATGCTGCTGAGATCGGGCGTCCCTGCTGGGGAGAGTCTGTTCCTCGAGTGTGTGATGGGGAGAGCAGGGATGCTAAGGGAACTGAGGAGGAATAACAGGCAGTGGGCGTGGGACAGCCCTGCCCTGGGCAGTCTCTCTCCTGGAAGGGCCAGCCCCAGGGTCCAGGTGAAGCAGGGGCCGGCCCCAGGGGCTCACAGAGGGATGCCAAAGAGAAGCCCCAGGGAGGCAGTCCGGAGGGCTGGGCCACCCGGAGCTGAGTGTGTGCTGTGGCCAGGAGGGGCCCTGCTCCCATGCACAGTCGAGATCTGGTCCAGAATCTTCTTGGCTCAGTGCCCGGGCTGTGGGAGTATTAGCCAGGGTGTCCTTGTTCCTTCTTTGTCTGCAAAGAGGTGACAGGCATGGTCATCACAGCCCACGGGCGCGCCTGTTTCTCCCCGAGGCCGTGGGAGCATTGTGTCAGCCCCCGTCACAGTTCCGGGCAAAGACTCAGCACAGGGAATCCCATGTCTCCAGGGGCTGCTGAGGAAGCCTCGCCTGTAAAAAGATGAAAGATTTTATTTTAAAAACAGAGCACGTCTGTCCTCGGCTGTCCTTGGGCGTGAGCCACCATGGTGTGACTACGGACACCCTGCTACTTCCCCGGGGCCTTTCCTTGCTTCAGAACAGAGCCTTGACCTTTCAAAGATCACTGGAGCCACGTTCCACGCTGAAGCGCCACGGCCGTCGGGCTCCGCAGGCCGGGTGTTGCTGGCACTCGAGTGGCGTTTGCTTGTGTGGCACCTGCGGGTCACTGTTGAGTTGGGCATCTTGTCCCTAAAGATGGCTCAGGGGCGCCTATGCCCAGAGGCAGAGATACCCCCAGAGGGCCCCAGCCCCCCTCCGCACCCCGGCTGTGTCTCGGTCTCCGGCTCCAGTCACCAACGCCGTGGAGGTCGGGAAATAAAAAGTAACTTCAGCCCACTCGTGGGCAAACTCCCCACTCCAAAGAGGATGCAGACTCGGCCTGCAGGCCTCAGCGGCCGCGCCCGCACACGCAGTCCCCGGAACCTCCGTTGTTCCCTGCTGGTGTGTGTCGCCATGACGTCGCCAGGTCTGATACCTCCAGTGACCCGTCACCCGTCCTGAGACACTAGAAGACCCGTCTGCACCCCCTGCTCCTCGGGCCCATGGGGACAAGAGCCTTGATGTGGACGCGAGAAACGCCAGGGGGTGGCTCCAAACGTGCAAGCGCGTGTCCACCGAGACGAACACGAGAGGCCAGGGGCCGCCGTGGAGCTGACTCCAGCTGGCCTCCCCTGCTGGCCTCCCCTGCTGGAGTCACTAGCAATTACTGATTAAAGGTATTTTTGCGACTGTAAGTATTGAGGCTCGGGGTTCCGATGATCCGCCTGGCTTTGAGCTACGCTGATGGAAACACGGGAACACGTGTTGCTTTTGTCCTCGCGCTCCCGGAAACTGGAACGTGATGGATGAGCTGCAGCGTGGGCAGGGGCTTCTGAGATGACCGTCTCACACTCCTTTTTTGTGGGTATGAAGACACGTTGTGCATCTTTTTGGGGACGGCTCGATCAAAGCTTTCTCAGTGATGACGCGCTGCGTAGCCAAGCTTTGGCTCGTACAACAGCAGCAGAAATGGGGACGGCCGGACTTTGAAGGGACATAGAGCAGCATCGAGACCACGTGCAAAGGCTACACACACTCCCTGTGAGACCTGTCACATGTGGTGTTTTCTAGAAGTCCCATTAGCTCTGCCATAGAAAGCAATCGAGCTGAGTGCTCGTGACCAGAGTGGGAAGCAATTTCCATTCAAGCCGGGAGGTTCTGGGTGGACACGATGATGGTAACTAGGCAAGGACAGGAGGGCCTCCCTGGCGCGCAGGGGTTAGAGTCAGCGCTATCCAGCTATCGCAGCCATTGCAGCACGAGTCCATCCCCGGCCAGGGAGCTGCCCACAGGGCGCAGCAGACCTCTCCTGTCTCCCCGCTGCTCCCCTCAGCAGTGGGTTTCAGTAGGTCTGCCTGTTCTGCTCCCCACTCTGCCTCTGTTGAGTCCTCTCACCCCCCACCATCTCTGGCCTGCACCCCAGTTCTTGTATGCATGAATAAATCTTTTTAGAAAAAAGGAGAAAAGGAGACAAAAGCCAGGCTGGCACCCCCCAAACAAACTCATCGGGCGGGCAGTACAGTTGATTCCATGTCTTCATATTTTGTCAGAAATCACATGCCAGTGGTTCAGACGTGACCTGTTCTTGGCTATTTGGCAATTCAATGCCAAATGTTCCAAATACGAGAGGAATAACGCCTCGCATGCCAGCTCACAGCAGTTCCAACATTAACTAAAGCAGGTGGGAGCCGAAGCTGGGCTCTGGAGGAGGCAGACTAGCCCCCTGCACATGCAGACAGTTTAGTTTCTTATTAGAAGTCGCCAGTGCCTTGTTGAGACGCCGCTTACCGTCTGGATGTGTGGGGTCCGGCCCTAAGCAGAGGCTTGATTGGCTGTACTTTGCAGAGTGGTGGTGACGCGTCTTTGACTCAGGTGTAGGAAGCAGCCAGGACACACGGGCAGAGGCGACGTCTGCCCCAGCTGAGGTGCCAGGACGCACCTGGAGCCCAAGGGAGACCCGACTCCCCTGTCCCAACCTGGTGTTGCTTTAAGTTGACATCAGACGCCCTGGTGTTTGTTCTGGAGCTGGAAGGCCCTTGCCATGTCTGTACACAGTTTGGGGTTTTATTCCTGACCCCCGCCCGGCCCCGCAGGCAGGTCCAGAGACGCAGGCGAGCCCGCTGCGGGGCGGGCGGCAGCACAGAGGTGCGGACATCAGGAGAGCAGCGCCTGCTCTGTCTCGAGTCTGTCCAACTGCTTCACGAGCTCACAGAGCCGTCCCTCCAGCTCGGGCCGGGAGAGGGAATGGACTTGTGTCTGTGCAGTGCTTCTCCCTTCTCCCGCGACTCTGGGCCAAAATCAGACCCGCGCTTGCGCTTCCCCCAGGGCCTCCCTTCCCTGTGAAACCCGCCTCACCTGCCAGCTGCGCACCTGTGTGCCGGGGAGGCGCCTCCAACCTGTGTCAGCCGCTCACCCGGCTGTGGGCGGGTCTGTTACCTGCCGCGTCTGTGTTGATTTGCTGTTGCTGTTTTGTGATACAAAATAAATTTACTTGGGATTGTTCCTTGTTTTTGTCATTGCATCTCCGTCAAAGCCGGCTTCAGCCCTCAGGAAACTTGCAGAAAGTTCCTGACCTGAAAATGAATTTTGCAGAAGCACGGGGTCCATCCTCACGGAGCTTCTGAGCGTGAGCGCTTGGCCTTGCGTGGTCAGCGGGGCCAGTTGCCTTGTTGGCCCGACCCCGGGGCTGGGGTTTGCGCATGGGGCCGTGGGGCCATCACCAGCTGTCCTGTCCTTACCCATCGCTCAGTCTCCTCCACGGTTTTGGTACAAAGCACAGACTCCTCGTGTCTCCCTCTCCGGTCCCGCCGCTCACCAGCTCCCGGGTCTCAGGTGCTCATGTCTGGTCTGTTTCCTGTCGCTGTTTTCAAAGATGGGCTTGGGGCGCTCGCTGTGGCCCGGGGCAGGGGTTGATGGCCTGTGCACTGGGCGGAATATGGAAGTGGGGGGTTACCCCAATAGTAGGAGCCAACTCACACCTGTCCAAGCCCTGACTCTGAAGAAGACTTCACACGAATCGTGAGCTGCTGGCGCGCGTGAGAAGTCGTGCTCACCGCTGCTCCCGCTGGTTTCCAGGCCCAAGTCCCTTCACTCTGGAGTGAGGCCCCGAGTCCCGCTGACAGCACCGCAGCTCCCCGCATAGACTCCCCCACCCCCCGCTTCTCTATCTGCCAACATTTTGGGGACAAAAGAAGAGAATTCCGATTATGTACAGTATAAATTGTATTATATTTTTTGTACCTATGTTTTATGTAAATAGTTTGTCTCATTCAATTGTATGTGAGCATTGAAATAAATCTTACCGTTTAGGAATCCGCGGAGCAGAGCTTTTCCTTCCACGCCCCGGCCGGTGATCCCAGCCGGCGGAGGCCCAGGCGGGGCCCAGGGCCGGCTCCTAGGTGAGCCCCCTGGTCCGTCCATTTCTCCTGCAGGCCCAAGGCCGCCCCCCAGGACCCTGCAGCCCAGGATGCCTGTGAGGTAGCAAAGAGCTCCTGGAAAGGTGCCCAGAGACAGCAGAGAGCGTGAGACAAGGAAACCCTGTGGTGTTCCCACAGGAGACGGTGCCGGGCACCGCTGGGGATGTGCTGCAGTGTCCAGGGACCTCCATGACTCCTGGTGGCTGGCATGTGTGCAGCTGGGGAGGCCGGGAGCCCATGTGCAGGGCGGGAGCGACTGCTCCAGCATCCACTGACGCCTGCATAGTGTGTGGGTTTGTGCACACGTGTGTGCATGACCTTATACATAATTTGCAATTGACCGAAACACTGAAAATCCACTTAAGATGGAGGTCAAACATGAACATAGTCTAAAATTACAGAAATAGATCAGAGGACAGGTCTGTGGCAGGAAGGGGAGGGTGGGAGGTGTCGGGTGAGGCTGCAGAAAGGAGCTGGCCTGCAGCACAGCCACCTGCCAGGAGCGGCCGGAGCTGGAAGACCAGGAGGTGCCCTCACCAGGGCTGAGGGTGCCAAGTCTTCACTGCGTGGACAGTGGCTCTGGTGCCCATTTTAAGCTGCAGAGCCCCTTTGTTCTAAAGCAAAGCATCCATGTGACACACAGACGCCAGGAGAGCGGCAGGCGGAGCTGGGGGCGGGGAGACCCTCCCAGGTGCTGTTACCCAGGGCAAGGGCTGCTGGTGCGGGTCAGAAGCCCCCACTCCAGGGTCACTTCAGGAAGAACCAGCACCCCGGAGGCCTGGCTGAGAAGTGCTTGACCTGGAGATAGACGCCCAGCACCAGCAGGTGACAGGGTGATGGGACTCTCCAGGAGGACGGAGAGACTCGGGTGTGCTGAGACAGTGACAGTCCCCTGGGGCGGGCTGAGCTGCTGTTCAGGGTGGGCCCAGATCGGCTGTCAGCGAACGGCCGAGTGTGAACGTCGGGCTGCAGGAGTGCGGGGGTGCTCAGGATGCCGCCAGCTGCCTGTTTGTCTTAAAACCCATTGCCGGGAACTTGACCATTCAGCTGGTTGTTTTCTGGAAAGAAAGCTTTTCAGAAACGAGTTTCAACAACATGCTACAATTAAAAGGCACGTGGGTAACTGGCAGCCCCATGTTTGGGGGCACAAGAAGGTCACCCGTTGTGGGGCAGAGGCTGAGATATTCCTCAGTCTCGGTGGAGATGCCCTTGGAATCCTCCCTGGAACCCCGAAGGTCACGGTGCGCCCACCTTGCCAAGTTTAACGTGGTTAATGGGAAAAAAAGAATGAGCTGCAGGAACAGTGGAGAGAAAGAGCTTTGGGGAGACCCAGGCGTCTCGGCCTACAGCTCTCCTGACAGCCTGAAGCCAAAAGCAAGTCAATGCCATTCACATATGGCTTCATTAGAGAGAAGGGTTTTTGTCTTGTTTGAGAGGACAATGATGGCGGTTTGTGGGTTCTATTAGCAAAGCTGGGCTGCGTGGCCCTGGGGCCCTGGGGGTACAGTGATGGTGTAACTAGTCCACTGAGGACACACTGCCGTCTGCACATGCTCCGTGTCTAAGGATGTACATGTGCACATGTGTGATGCCTGAGACTGTATCGTCCAGAAAGTTCCACCCAGAATGACGAATGTCCTTCAAACTATCAATACTTTATGAAAACAACAGATTTTGCGAATTAGAATTGAGGCGATAGACGTCCCAGGGAGATGTGAGCTTCCACCCACGACGCAGGGCTACACAGCGGGCACTCAGGACGTGGGTCCCCACGCTTGCCACGCATCCATGTGGGGGTGATGACCCCTTCAGGGACAGCTGCACTATGGAGTGGAGGGTGGGATGTGGCAGCATATTGTTAACTGGAATCAAAGTCTCAGTGAGAGTCAGATGGAGCTTGCTAGGCAGCATGAGGACCTCACCGCAAAAAGCGGCCCCACACATTCACTCTACGAGAGCTGTTTCCACAAGCCCCTATGTGAATCATTTCATTTAGGTGGGCATCATGACTTATTGACATTAAAATGCGATTGCTCTTGACAGAAAGATTTCTGAGTCTAAGGTGTTTTGGCCTAAAGATATTATGGATGTTACATGAGCAGAGGACACACTGGGATTTCATCTTTCCAGAGAACGCGCTGTGAGGATGCCCAGGCTGGGGACCTATTTAATCTTCTTTGCCAGAGTCCTTGGGCATTAGTGGGTGCTGCAAAGACTGATTTTACCTGCAGGCAATGGTTTAGCAAAGATGCTTCAGAAACTTCAGAAGCTTCAAGTCTATGCAGATGGCTTTGCTCTCTTGTCTGCTGGAGCAAGAAAGGGTTGTTTCCAGGACATTAGCAGCATGTCACGATATCATCTTAGGGACAGAAATAGATCCTTATCTCAGGCCTCTTATGGAACAAAGTTGCCAAAGTACTTCTTTGAGGAAAGGCTCTTACTTCAAAAATGATTCAGAACAATTGGAAAAATCCATATAGAAAAAAATTACAATAATTGCATTGCACATTGTGTAAAAATTAACTCAAAATGCATCAGACCCATGACGTAGGTGAAAGATAATATCATAAAATTACTAGATGAAAATCTCTTATGATCTTATATTAGGCAAAGACTTCTTAGGACATCAGAAACATAACCCATGAAAGAAAAATATGCTAAAATGCTTCAGAAAAATTTACTTCAGAAAAATTTAAAGCTTGAAACAGAAAAGTTTACTTCAGAAAAATTTAAAGCTTATGTTTTGAGAAACACTACTAAAATGAGGAAAATCCAGCCAGACACATTCTGGGAGGAAATATTTGCCCAAAAAATCTAATAAATAACTTGAATCTTTAAATGTATGTTTCCAACTCAACATAAAACAACAAACAAAGCAGACAATTTGAACACACACTTTACCAAAGACGAGATGCAGACGTAAATAACCACATGCAGAAAAAGATTGACATTTTTGTTACCTCGGGAAAGAAAATGAAAGTCATGATGAGACACCACTGCCTCCCACTGCACTGGCTAAAAATAAAACCACTGACAGTATTATGTGTGGTGAGATGTGGAGGAAAGGAAAGTCTGCTCAGAGCTGGTGATAATGCAAGATGGAATAGTCACCATGGAAAGCAGTTTGGTAGTTTCTTATAAAGCTGTAAAACCCAATCCATCCTAGATATTTATTCAAAGAGAAACGGGAACATATGTCTATGAAAAATTTGTATGCAAAATCCACAGTAGCAAGATGGTGAAAACAGCTCAAATTTCTAGCAACAGGCAAATGATAAGCAAATTATGGTAGACCCAGGGAGGGAGAGGAATAAAGAGCTTCTCAACAACAGGGCAAATAAATCTCATGAGACATTTACTCACAAAACAAACCAGACATACACAGAAGACACTGCATGATCTATGATTTCATGTATACAAAGTTCTAGAAAAGGTAAAGGTCACAATGTGACCTCCAGGGCTGCCTGGAACTAGAGATGGAGGGGGGGGTGTACCTTTCAAGGGAGCCAGGGGGAAATCTTAGGGGTGATGGAAATGTTGGTTAAATTAATGTTTATACTTGTCAAAAATTACAGAAGTTTACTTTTAAAATTATTTTGTGTTATTTCTGTCCTTGGATATAGTTGATGGAAAGAATGTTGCTTGGAGCTGTTCAAGTAGTGTGGGTCAAGCTGGTGAATGTCACACTCTCACAATAGGGTTTGTACTGCCAGCGGGGGCAGAGTGAGTGTCTCTGAAACAGCCCCCACATCAGGTAAGGAGAGACTATAAACACATAAGAGAACATCCCTCCTGGAGAGATAATCAGATGCCTCTACTGGCTGATAAGCATTAGTTATTTCTAGTTTGGGTCTATTTCAAATGAAAATGATTTGAAAATATGTATATTTAAGAAGTTTGGAAAGATAAGGATAAGGGTAGAATCTGCAAGGCACAAATGAGCCACAGAGAAAAGGGATATTCAGAAAGCCCATTAAAATTCTGAAAAACAATTATAATCACTGGAAAAATATCTCAAGAAAAGATAAACAGCAAATGAGCTATTACTGATGGTAAGACAGTGATTAAAACCAAAACTGAAGAAATTAGCCAGTGAGTCACAGATATAAGACACAAAATAGAAGAGTTGTTACAAAAAGAATGAGATTTAATCTACAGAAGGTTGACAATGAAAATAAGTACAGAGGAAACAATATTAAAATCACATGAACGGGTTCTGTTGCGTGCAAGAGGGGATTAAGGTAACAGATGGAGCCGTTTTGCTCATCAGCTGACCTTGAGAGGGGGCGATTACCCTGGATTACCAGGATGGCCTGGTACAAGAACAAGGGTTCTGAAAGGTGGGAGAGGCCACAGAGTCAAAGAAAGAGAGATAGTGTGAGAAAGACCAGGTCAGCCATGGGCCCTTTGAAGATGGAGGAGGAGGCCATGAGCCAAGGACTGTGGACCGCTTAAATGCTGGACCAGGTGAGGAACTGATTGTCCCCAGCAGCTTCCAGAAAGGAACGCAGCCTCGAGCGCTGGAGTTCAGCACCAGGATGCTTGTTTTACACTTTTGATCTCCTGAACAGTGAAGTAACAATTTCGTGTGGCTTAAGACACTAAGTTTTTGGTTATTTGTCAAAATATCACATTTTCCTTCCTTTGTGGCCTTTAATATTTGAATTTTCTGATCCTCTAGAAACATCAGTTTCTTTAAAATGGGGCAATTTCTATCTCTCAGCCTGCAAGCTTATGAGATGGGGTCTCGTGTGAGACCCCTGCTGGACAGGTGCGCATTTTCAGCATTAGAGGGTGTGTCCTGACCTTTGTCCTCTGGGCTAAGATTTTCATTTTCTTATTTTTTCAAAAGATTGATTTATTTATGCATATGATTTATTTATGCATATTGATTTATTTGTGCATATTGATTTATTTATGCATATTGATTTATTTATGCATACAAGAACTGGGGTGCAGGCCAGAGCTGTAAGGGGTGAGAGGACTCACTCGAGACGGAGTGGGGAACGGAACAGGCAGATCTACTGAAATACACTGCTGAGGGGAGCAGCGGGGAGACAGGAGAGGTCTGCTGCGCCATGTGGATAGCTCCCTGGCCGGGGATCGATCTTGTGCTGCAGAGGCTATGGATAGTTTCAGAGGTTGCGTCTTAACCCCTTGTACCACCAGGGAGGCCCAAGATTTTCATTTTTAATGCCATAAAGTATAATGAGAAATGCTGTAGATTCCCAAGATACGAAAGTCTGGGAAACTTTATGACTTGCCTGAAGCTCCACTTTAGCATTTAACGAAGGAGACAGTAGGCTTCATCAGAGGGTAGCTGGGATTACGTGAGCAGGCTCTGTGCGGTTTCTCTGCGTTAACCCACCTGAGCTCATGTTTGCATCAAGCCTACTGGGGTAGGCACCATTGATTATTCTCACTTAAGTGAGAAAATGAAACTCCAAGAGGAAAGTAACTTTCCTGAAGTCGGCTGGTTAACTAGCTAGGAAGCCAGGACCTAGTCCAGGCGGGTCTGCTCCAGGTGGTGTCCTGGCCCACTGGCCTCGGACACCTCTTCGACCCTCAGTGTTAGTTGCACCCGCCACCCTCCACTCTCAGAGCAGGCTGGGCTTTCCTGACCACGTCTCCCCTGGGGCAAACCACACTGGTCATCTTGCTGGTGACTTAGGCCAAACCAATGTCGGTCTTGACAGTGGGGGAAATAAATTGTTTATACTCGGTTTCTTTTCTCAGAAATGTGGTGACTCATTGCATCTATTGCGTAGGTCGTTAACGAGGACTAAATTAGTTCATTAAAAAGGAGATCTGCTTTGAGACAAGTGTGAGCTATTATTTCTTCTTCAAATTAACATTCTTTGATAGAACGGGCTGAGCTGCTCGGTGTATTTATTCAAAAGAAATATTTTGATCAAAAAGGCCATATGATGCGGTAGGGTAAGGTAAAAGGTGTCAGGCTTTTCTGCCCTCCCGCCATCAGGATGGATGACGGAACCCTGCGGTCTGAATGCATGCCTGATGGCGGGCACCTGGAGAAGGGTGTGGGCATAGGTAGATGGGATTCTTCTGGGCTTTTAAGGGCGGCGTCACAGGGACGCCAGCAGAAGCCGAGAGAAGGCCGGAGAGCCCAGAGTGAAGACCTGCTGGGGGCTGGGAGGCCTGCCAGCCCCCCAGCACCCCTGCTTGCTGTGTACCTGGTAAATCCCAATAAAAGACCTGCAAAAAAACCACTGAGGACTCTGACTCCTCCTTTACCTGGTCTGCTGGATCATAGAAAACCTGCTCTGTGCCCAGTCCTGCCCCTACAGATGCCATGAGGAGAAATCCAGACACATGCTCAGGTAAGAGCTTAATGGAGAGAGGGTTTGGAATTCTATGGAAGAAACTCGGGAAGGGAAGAAAGGACTCAGCTGAGACGCGGTCAGGCCAGCTGAGCTGGAGAAACTGAGCTGCTGTGAGGGTAACCAACTCAGAGTGTCATGCTTGTTTACAGGAAAAACCTTCCTTGATCTTTAAGTTTGATCCGGAACTGGCCAGAGATGGGCTGGGTGAGCCTGCGGAGGATCGGTGTCTGGACAAGAGGCCGGGAGGAGTCACTGCTAGTGCAGCTGGGCAGAGGGCAGGGTTTAGGAAAAACAGGAAGCTTGGAACCTCCCCTTTGTGGATCCAACTCTTGAGGTTGTTGTCTTTGAGGAAGGACAAATTACAGAGACAGATGCCAGGGAAAGGCTGTGTCCTGGATGCTCCATGAAAACTCAGGAGGAAAAACAGTAAGTTACTTGACGTAATTATGGCCTTTGTGTACCCGGAGAGTGGACGGTGGTGGGTGTCATTGATGGATTTGTAAGAGCTGGGCCCCCCCTTAGTTGTCCTTCCCTGCTTAGTGGGATTGCTTTCACAGCAGGAGTTGATATTAAAGTCTGGGTGATGCCAGTGGTGTACACACTTATTCAGTCCACAAACGCTTCTCGTACAGGCGTTATGCCAAGTGTCCTGCCAGGGGCTGGGAGGTAAGTTTTTTACTAATGTTTTATTTTAATTTGGGGGCTACATTTTTGCTCTTCCATATGTGCACACATTCTGCTCACCCTCCGCCAAACCACCTGTGCCAGTGCCCGTCTGCCTCCCCGCCCCCTCCTGTTCCCTCATAACCATAAACTCCGCTAAGCCGGGGTGTGCTCCTGCGGAATTGCCTGTGTGTGCTTTTGGTTATCTATGATCCTTGGAGGGACGATGGTGTCTGTTCATGATCAGGGGACTCTGAGGGCCTCCAGGAGAGACACAGCACGTGTGGGCGTCATGAAGGGCTGGGGCAGAGGCCGACCTCTCAAAGAGGACAGCCTCCACGGAAGGGATGTCCTCGCTGCCCTCCCCTTGGGGAGAACTCTCGGGAAGTGACGAGCAGCAGGAGCCTCCCCAGCTGGGGCCTCCCCAGCTTCTGCAGCCCGGGGCTGCTCCCCCTTCCCTGTGCTGTGCTGCTCAGGGTGGCCCAGGGGGACTGTTTCATTTGGTTCTTTGTCCCCCAGTTCCCAGGTGAACTTGCCCCAGGGGAGAAACTAGGAGCAGATCATAGCTGGTGGAGAGGGAGGTTGGAATATTTACTCCCACAGCCCCGTCTGCTGACCAGAAGGTCACTGCTTCTTCTGTGAGTCCTTTTCGGCAGCCACAGCTCTCTCCATATGTTCTGGAAGCTGTTCTCTCTGTTGGCATCAGTCTGTATTTGGTTATACGCCCTTGAACTTGCTAAACTTGGGGTATAAAAACATCCCTTTTGGCTTTATTTTAACCTTGCAACATTGTTATAAAGATCCATCTGGGCTTGATACCTGATTCCTCCTGATACAGCACCTGATGCCACCCAATAAAGCTAGCACACGCCAGGCCTCTGGAGGAGGTGTAAATAGAGTGGTTCACTGATTTCCTCTGAAAAGTGTCTTTTGATGACATCAGCCCAAAGGCTCTATCATGAAAGTAATTCCAGGTCTCAATGAAAGTAAACCTCATGAAACCACGAGTAGGTAGCATCTTTTGATTTCTATTCAAACTCTGGCTTCCTACCCTGTCTCTGGTTTTAGGAATAACTTTTCATCTATTTCTAACTGAGCACATTGTTACAATAGAGTTTGAAAGAAAAAAATGTATTGAAGCATATTCTCTAAGGAGTAATGCAATTTAAAAACAGCTCATTAGCAGCAAGAGTGTTAACTAGGAGATTAAAGAAACATTAGCAATTATTAAGTGCATTTACTATTGCTTCATTTAGGCCAATACAGAGAAGCTGACTCAATGGTTCTCCCATCACATAATCAGTTATTATGAATCACTTAAAGATCAGGCGAGAGTGGCCATTATTAAAACTGAAATTAAATTTGAATAACATTTAAGGGAATGTTTTACATTCATGACCATCCCGCTTGGACTCAGGAAAAAGCAATTCATGGGGCTCGGTTTGTTCATCATGCGGTTGGTTCTCAATCCTTCTATCTCCATGGGAGAAATTAAATTTTATGCACTTTTGAGTATGCGGTGATTTCTTCTGATTTTGGAGTCTTCACATTTTACAGAGAAAGGTGTGAGTGTGCAAGGCTCAATGGGATAAGCTCAAGGAGCGTTTCAAGTGAAGAGTTGGACACTCTTCCCCTGACTTCTTGCTCCTGTCCTATCAACAGAGGCTCCTGTCATCGTCATGGAGGCCTTTGGTTCTACGAGAGCCGAAAGGAGTTACTCATGCAGTTTGTGTTGGGTCTGGGTGTCGTCTGTTGTCATCAGGACAAAGTGGTTATTCCAGGGAAAAGTCATCTGGGAAAATGATACCAGGTGGTATCCAATCTTGTAGGTAGGATTTCTATTTGCTTTTCTTTTCTATAAACTCAATCAAAGCTATAAAGGAAATTAGCTAGATTTGAGTCCACAGATCTCATATAGATGAAAAAGCAGAGCAAGACAAGACATCCAGGGGGACTCAGGAATCACAGCCTGTGAACCCCAATACCCCAACCCCAAGCTAGAATTGTCCTGAGAAATGTCTCTTTCATTGTTTTTCTCTGAAGAAAAACCCAGGTAAGTGCTTCTGAGCCATCTATAATAAAATTTTCTCTTTCTATTGCTTTTTTTCCTTTGAAGCAACCAAAGGTCTTCCCTTGGGTAAGTGCCCTCGTGGTTCTGGCTACATTTGCAGGCATGTTCTCTACAACCCCTGCAATAACTTTTTACACGTATTTTTTAAAAGTAACTTCTACACTGGAGAACATTAAATGTAGTCCATGGAATCCTTTCATTAAATTGTCAAAGAAGTCGCCATGCATCACTCAAAGAAATTGAACTTATCACCTATGTCAAAGAAAGCTATGCTTGGAGGGACAGTTCCCTGGCAGATCAGGCAGCTGAGTTCATGTGGGACTCTGAGGACTGTGTAGTGGAGAGGTTGGTGGACTTTGAGAGGTAGAAGTGAGTAATGACCTGTCCCATTAGTTCTGAGTGGTCAGTGTCACTTCCTGATGCGTGCAGGGGCTGACAGTCACCAGGTGTTCCCTGCCTAGTGGAGCACTTTCAGAATCATGACCTGTACAGGTGGGCTGGCTTTAAAGCGATGCCATGGAGGAGACGTGGAGTTGGCATTAGTCCATTAGGTTAGACGTGGTTAATGTGTGGAAATTGATCATAGTTACAAGACAACCATGTTTTTTAGGGAGGGATTTTTACTCAAAAATCTCACCTTTTGGTTATTTCTCATCCAAAGATGCAGCCCAATATGCTGATTGTCCTCAGTGCTGAGATTTCATTTGCAGAATCTCATTTATAGTTTGTGAGTCAGTATTTCACCTTGTGTTTCCTACGATTCATTATCGGATAATTTATTGTAACTCTCTTTACTTCTTCCTCTGTTTTTAATATGCCTGAATATTTTTAATTTTACATCATTTTATTGTAAAAGATATGGTTTCAAATGTTTGAGTCTCTCCGGGGATTTCATTTCCATATTTTAACAAAAGCAAAACCATGAACCACCATCCATGAGAAAGTATGGTGAGGATTCAATCAAATCACACGATCAGGTTGAATTACGCTTTTGATGGAAGTGAAGTTATAGCCACCCTCCTGAATGTGTACCCATCAATCATTTTTTAGGGACAATTAATGACTACAATGCCCTTGAAATAGAGGTATTTTAATAGGATTCATTGTATTATCATCATTATTTGAGGATAACTTGCCTGACAATTCCTACAGTCGTGTTAGCCATCCCTTGTGAGATCTGAATTCCAGTATTGGGGTGGTCATGGCTTATGGTACGAGGGACTTAGATAAGTGGTTATTAGTACTTAGGTCATAAATACACAACATAAAGTGTTTAAACAGTGTGACCAACAGAAGAATGAGCAAACATATGACCAAAAGAGTTTGTTTGAAAAGTCACATATGACAATTCGTGGTCCCAGGTGTATGAGGAAATCTTGTGCTGATGGTTTTGGCAGAAGCTGTCAGCTTCATGCTCTTGTCAGCTGTCCTGAGGACACACATCACCCCTCAGACCCCAGGGCCATCTGCTCCCATCCCCTTTGAAAGCCTCCCTCGAAGATTTCCAGTGCTGAAACTGTCATTTTTTTTGTGTGTGTGGTCATTTGAAGTAGATGACGTTGTTTTAATTGGGAAACATGCATATAAGGATTCATACCTTGTCACTTATTATGCTAGTCAAGATTACTGGTTATGGTTTTACAGGTAAAGTAGGAAGACAGTCCTTTGATCATCTTTCTCAGAACATAGCATCATCGAATTTTAGTTGACTTGGGGGCCAATGAGATGATTGGGGGAAAATAACATCTGGTGCAAGCTCAGGAAAGGCCTGTATTACTGGGTGGGATGTGCAGCCACATGTGTTGTGAAATATAGGAGCTGAGAACCAGTGGAGGTGTTTTATATGACATGGATCTGCATGAGCAGATCAGAGGTGAAAAGACTTAAATTCCTACAGGCCATAAAAACTCAGAGTAGTATATTAAGCCATGAAATTTTAAAGGTGTCTGAGAATTTAAGTCATTTTAGTTTCAGTAATTTCTTTGCACATTATACTTTTACAGAAGCTTATAAGTATAATTTTCTGATTAAGGGAGAAAATCTTGACTAAATCACAAATAAGTTTCCCAGTAAAATATGTTCCTCAGTTACTACAGGATGAGTTGTAACTCTCTCACTGGAAAGCACAAAATATTATCACTTTAAGCCAGTATGAGTACTAAGGTTTTTTGTTTTTGGTTTTTTTTTTTTTTAAATAGGAGATTATTTCAACCTATCCAAGAAAAGAAATGTATTATGACTAATCCATACCCACAGTCAGTGTTGATTGTTGTCCCACAATATTGTATACGTCAATGGTTTGGTATCTGCAGAAATTTTTTCTGGAGAAAATAAGGGGAAAAAGATCCCAAATGATTCCAATTGATAGAACTTTTGACAGTGAAAATTTCGTTCAAAGGACTGAATAGACTGGTGAAGATAAACCTGATTTTTACTAAGTTTTGGTTGAAATAATACTGGTAATTTTTTGCATTTTGTTTGATTCAAAGGAAATTTCCTCATTTTGACTGACCAGGATATGCAGCGATATTGCATTGTTTTTCCCAGCAGAGCAAACTTATGTTTGCATTTTCTCTCCCCTTGATACCAACACAGTATGAAAAATAGTGGTAGTAATTTTTAGTGCTTATGGCAGAGTATCTTTGCATAACTTCAATGGGGAATTTTGTTTGCTTAAACTAGAAAATTGGAAACATGTTCCATTGTGTGGCTTTGATAGGAATTCTTCAAGGCAGTTGAATTTGAGCTGAACCAGGAAGAGAACCTGCTATTTTGTTTGTAGGGTTCCAGAGACCTCCAAAGAAGGTGAGGAAGCTGCATCCATTGGCAGGACTGGACAACTGGGAAAAAGCAAAAGACCTGGTAAACCTTGAGAAGGGGACACACCAGGTGGAGTCTGGTGAGACCAACTTTGTTTCTGAAGCCTGTGCAGACAGGATGTCAAGAGTTTGCTCTGATCCTATATGGGGTATTCCACCAAAGCCAGCTAAAATTCCTGTTTGGTTATTCTGCCCTGTGATTTTATGCAAAATTAGGTTAAATGATTTAAAAGTAGATTTAGTTTGCAAATTTTTGCTATATTGTTGGATAAAGTTGGGATCAAGGTGGACAGAACTTTAAGATCAGTTCATCAGTTTTTAAGATTTTTTTTTCTTCCTGTGATTTTGATATATTTGCTGTTTTGTTTTGGGTAGTGCCTCCAGATGATTTTCCTTTGACATGGATTTTACTGTCTTCCAGGAATAGAGGACTTTTTTTGCCACACTGGACAAAACCTGGAGACTGTGGTTTTTCTTCTAAACTGGAACCCTGAGAAATTATCATCTGAGGCTGCACCCCAGCATATGCACATTTGGCCTTCATCACCATAAAAATGGGGGCAAAAAGTGAAAGGGGGTTATTGTTGGGGAGAAAGGATGCCCTGAACGAACTCCAGACAGATTTATGTGGACTCCACGCGCCCACTCCAGGCTAAAGAGATCGAAACCACCGCGAACTACAAATCCCGTAATGTCATCCTCATGGAAGAGGAGGATTGGTGGGAATTGAGGGTGGAGTTCAGCAGTCGGGCCTGGTATAAAACCTGACAGGTGGACCTGGGGCTTCTCTTGGCATTTCTCCAGCTCTCCGTGTGCCAGTGGGATTCCAACTCCGTGGAGCTATTAGAACACGTTCACCAATTTATCTCCCTCTCCTTGAGTTCTTCATTCCCCCTTCTTTTGTAAATAAACCATTTATTAACCTTTCTGTGTGTGTCTGCAGTTCAGTCTTATTACAAGTCTCTTAAGTGCTCGGGTGAGGATCCACAGTCAGGCAACCCATTTTACATCAGCGTTTCCCTATAACGAATAAAACAGGCATTAGCGTAGGGAAAGAACAAATGGTGTAATATAAAATCAATGCCAAAATTAAAACCCTCTAGGTACTGTGGGAAAAGATACTTTGCAAGTGGCATAGGTATTTATTAATCACAACTGATTATTTGTTTTAATGCACCCTATACCCTACTTGGGACAATGTAGATATCAGACTTATGTTGGGCAGGGGAGGAGGGGGGGGCAGGCGGGCAGGGGAGGCAGGGGAGGGGGGGAGGGAGGAGGGGAGGAGGGGAGGCGCGGGCAGGCGCGCAAGGGAGATCTGGAGCATAGATCACAGTGGAGCAGCAGGCACAGAGAGAAGAGACCTTCTGCTGCACCACATGCGCTCTAGCTCCATGCCCCCTCACGGGGCTAACTCCCACACTCCTTGCAGGCGCCTCCACTGGCCGGGACTCGAACTCAGGCTGCAGTGGTGAGAGCGCTGAGACTAGCCCCTAGGCCATCCGGGAGGCCCTACCAGTGGCTTGTTAAATGGAGCCTTTAACCTTTGTTAGGAGGCTTCAGGAGACCTACTGACAGCTGCTTCCTCCAGCAAGTCAGAAGGAGACTATTGCTGCCCTTCCCTGAGTGATCATCACTGGCTCCTAGGGCCTGTGGGCGCTGAGGGAAGATGGCTTTCTGCGGCAACTCCATGTCTTCATCAGTGACAAGAGGGGGCAAAGTATGGGGATTTTCCAATTCTAAAACACAAGTATTTTTCATCAATGAATCAGAAGAAAAACCTACACATTTCAGAAAGTAATCAGGATAGTACTGATTCTGAAAGATTTCTTTTGTGATGATCATGTGTAAAATCAATATTTAGCAGTTTCTGAACTAGAGATTTAAGTCCGCAGACTTCTGATGTCCTCATAGATTAACGCTCAAAGTGAGCTGAAGACACTCAACAAAAACAAAGTAAATAACCCAGTCACAAAATGGGCAGAAGAGCTAAAAAGGAACTTCTCCAAAAAGGAAATGCAAATGGCCAACGGGCACATGAAAAATGCTCAGGATCACTTGTCATCAGGGAAATGCAAATCAAAACTACCATGTGATACCATCTTACACCAGTGAGAATGGCACATGTTAAAAAAACTGGCAACAACAAATGTTGGCGAGGGTGTGGAGAAAAAGGAACTCTCCTGCACTGCTGGTGGGAGTGCAAACTGGTCCAACCACTATGGAGAGCTGTGTGGAGATTTCTGGACCTACTAAACATAGAGCTTCCATAGGATCCAGCAATTCCACTCCTAGGTATTTACCCAAAGGACACAGAAACATCCATTCCAAAGAACACCTGCACCCCTATGTTTATAGCAGCACTGTTTACAATAGCTAAGCTTTGGAAACAACCCAAATGCCCAAAAATAGATGCCTGGATCAAGAAGATGTGGTGCATATATACCATGGAATATTACTCAGCATTCAAAAAAGATAAACACATGCAGTTTGCAGCAACATGGATGGACTAGAAGGGATCGTGCTCAGCGAAATAAGCCAGAAAGAAATAGAAAAAATCCGGATGGTCTCACTCATAGCAGGAATCTAGAAAACCTAAATAAGGGACCAGGAAAAAGACTAATCAATACAAAGTAAAAATCAAAATCAACAAGCGACTATAAACCAGAGACACACTGGAGGGGGGGAGAGAGGGGCTGGGAAAGGAAGGACTAGAGTTAAAATAAGGGGGGGTTCAATTGTATGGGGAATATAACCAAAATGAAAATGCATGCATTGTGCAAAGATGAAAAATGATGTAAGGATTATATAAAATATTTTTTTAAAAAAGAATCTAGGTATCAAGTAACTTTCATAATGTTGGTCATTTTCTAGGGGGTACCTAAGGAAATTAAGGACACTCTTTTTACCCCAGAATTCTGAAACTATGAACTATTTCAAAGGCATAAAGGAGATATATATATATATATATATATATATATATATATATATATATATATATGTCATCTTAGTGTTTTGACAACTTAACGTGTCCAGAGACAGCCGTAAGTTCGGTTATTTGAGATGGTTTGCCATCTTGAACTGATTCTACAAGAGAATTGAGTATTATTGCAGAATAAGCCTGATAATGTCTGTAGGGGCAGGAAGACCACAGTGCAGGTTTTCTAGGATCTAGCAGACCAGGTAAAGGAGGAGTCAGAGTCCTCAGTGGTTTTTTGCAGGTCTTTTATTGGGGTTTACCAGGTACATGGCAGGCAGGGGTGCTGGGGGGCCGGGAGGCTGGCAGACCTCCCAGCCCCAGCAAGTCTTCACTCTCTCTGGGCTCTCCGGCTTTCTCTGCTTCTCTCTCAGCTTCTGTTGGCGTCCCCGTGATGCTGCCCCTAAAAGCCGTCTCAGCCCAGGTGAATCCCATCTACCTATGCCCACACCCCATTCCAGGTGCCACCATCAGGCATGATTCAGGACCGCAGGGATCCATCATCTGTCCTGACGGCGGGAGGGCAGAAAAGCCTGACACTTTTCCGTACCCTACAGTCTACCCCGTCAGGATTTTCTGCCATACAGTCTTTATCAGTCTCTATATAAAAGTCATAAACCCATGTCTCCTGGCAATATGAACATTGCAGCCCACGAAAGTAAATGAAATACATCGCAATATAACAAAATACAACAGAACACAAATAAGTCCAGGCAGGGCCCCAACCTAGTGCAAAAGACAATTATTGGTACCAGCAGATGAGCCACCACATCTGCTGCCGAAGGCGCTGCTCATACGAGGGAGGGGAACCACTCACGGCATCTAGTGTAACACGCCAGGAGCTGTCAGGCTTCCCGGCCTTCTCTGGCTGTCGTCTCGGCTACAAGGCACACACAGCATCCACCCCCAGGATGCACTCGCTCTGGGATTGGCGATTCTGTTCTATTGGGGGTCATCGCCAACCCTCAGGGTTTCTGTCTGCAGTCGCTCCAACACTCGGCCTTCATAGCCACCCATGCGACTCGCAGGCCCCTGCACTCAGGCCAACCCACTGCACAAGCACGTGGGTCGGGGATCCAAACTCTACATGCGGCTTGGGCTCCACCCCAAGCCACGTTCCCCAGCCGTCCCCCAAGGACAGGTTCCTCAGCTCCTCGCCCTCACTCGAGAACGAGCAGGGCATCCCCCACAGCTGATTGTACGAGACTCACTGGCCTTGCTCAGCTTACTTAGTGCTTAGCAGCCACCCAGGGCTTCCCAAACTCAGCATCAGCACCAGCTTTTGCCTTCTCGGTTGGCTTTTCTCCTCTGCCTGGCTGCTGGGCATACACAGGCTGCTTTGGGCCACTGAGGCCCACTGGCCACCCCCAGATTCCCATCTGCTGGGTATACAAACAATAGCATCCTCCCCAGGGTCCCAAAAACTCAACTTGGCAAAGTTCCTCCACCTTCTGGCAGGATTGTCAGTCCAAGTCCATCAGTCCAAGTCCATTATTCCAAGTCCGTTGGCCTCTCCCTGCATCAGCACTGGGGAGCTCCGAATCGTGGTCCTCTCTTCCCCGATGATTCTGCTGCCTCAGGGGTCGTTGGCTGCTCCTCTCGGGTGTCTCCTCCACACGAGGTCTCGTCCCGCAGCTCCCAGACCTTGTCCATCACCTGTGCCGCCCTGACACGTCCAGCGTCGTCACAGGCAAACACAGTCTGCTACTCCTCAGTCCCTCCAGGTCTTCGGAGGGCCCCATACCCGTCTGCATGGATCATCTTGCTGACTTACGCCAATTGTAGGGGCAGGAAGACCACAGGGCAGGTTTTCTAGGATCCAGCAGACCAGGTAAAGGAGGAGTCAGAGCCCTCAGTGGCTTTTGCAGGCTTTTATTGGGATTTACCAGGTACACAGCAGGCAGGGGTGCTGGGGGGCCGGAGGCTGGCAGGCCTCCCAGCCCCCAGCAAGTCTTCACTCTATCTGGGCTCTCCGGCCTTCTCTCTGCTTCTCTCTCGGCTTCTGCTGGCGTCCCCGTGACGCCGCCCTTAAAAGCCCAGTCTCAGCCCAGGTGAATCCCATCTACCTACGCCCACGCCCTACTCCAGGTGCCGCCATCAGGCATGATTCAGGACCTCAGGGATCCCTCATCTGTCCTGACGGCGGGAGGGCAGAAAAGCCTGACATTTTTCCTTACCCTACAATGTCTCTTTTCATTTTAACAACGAACATATAAAGAGATAATATTAAGGAGAATTTTGTGTGGAAATGTTCAAAATACCTGCTAGGGGAGCAGGGGTGCCAGCCGCTGAGCCAGCCGGGTCACTCCCAGACTGTCGGTGCCCGTGGAAGCTGGGGGTGGCGTGCATCCTGAGATCACGCCCTAAAGCAGGTCTTGGCGTGGAAGTGTTGTTCACTGTCTTTACATTAGTGAGGGATGATGTTACAAAAAAACCTACCACGTCCCGTAACTAATAGCAACTTACATTTTGCACGTGGCAGGTTTTAGGGACTTGCGTGTTCAGAGAACACTTGATCCCAAGTACAGCTTACAAAATGCTCGGGGTCATTTGGAAGGAAAGAGTGACATGGTATCAGCAACAAAATCCACGTCGACCCGTTTCCATGCTTTAAAAGGACTAAGCACCTATACACAGATGTCGATGTTCCTTTGACTTTCATCACCTCATTACGTCATCCTGGATTTCAAGGTATACACGTCAAAGAATGAACATCCTTTCTCTTCATAAAAATAAAACTTGCAAAATATGGCAGTAAAACCTTCAATGACTTGAAAGTCAGATGCTGTGTGTGGCTGGGGGTGCTCGCTGCCCGGCTGTCAAACTTAGGAATAAATCTAAGGGCCTTGTCTTCCCAGACTCCTCAGAGAACACGCTGCGGGCCTTCTGCTTCCTCGCAGTCCTCTGCTGTGAGCTGCAGCCCAGGAAGCGGCC